TAACAGATGCAATGTTATCATAAGTAGGAGTTAAGCTAATGTACAACTTCTCTACCATAATTTTATTTAACAAATCCTCTACATGCATTTTCATTTGACTCACCAAAGCAAACAATCTAGTCAAATAATCAAAAAGATATTCACCATTTCTCATTCTAGAATATCTTGTAATTTCACTGCCATGATCTGAGAATCGTCTTTGTATTCCTGCTTCAACACATCCCAAGCCTTGTTAAATGTCCCCTGATTTGCAATCCTGAAAAAAAAATTCATCACTCACTATACTTTGAATTAACCTCAGGGCTTTTGCATCTCTGGAAATAAGATCATGAGCAACAATCAACTGCTTCCCATCCATTTGCTTCTCATTTGAGGGAAGTTCATAGCTATTTTTAGCACAACCCAACAGATTGTAAGACTTGAAGATAATCTTATTTGATGCACAAAAATTCATAGTTAACACCAATGAAGACTGGAGCTTGAAGATCAGCTCCAGATCTAGACATTTTGTTCTTCAATTTACTTAAGCTCTTGGTTGAAAGCTCAAAGAAAATTTCACAGATCACGCCCCTTGATTCAATTTGAACCAAGCTCTAAGGTCATGTTAGTGTGTTAAGGGGTGATAAACTCAATTTCCAATGGGATTTAACTCACGAAATCACTGAGAATGTGATCCGTCAATTGCAGTGAAATGGAAGAAAGAAGAAGAAGGTCACCAATGTAAAATCTCAAGAATATATCTACATTGAATTCTCTCTCTCTCTCTCTCTCTCTCTCTCTCTCTCTCTCTCTCTCTCTCTCTCTCTCTCTCTCTCTCTCTCTCTCTCTGTTACAAAGAAAGCATAAAGAGTGTGTGATATAGCTGTTTCTAGGCATAACACCTTAATAACAAGGCCACAAGTGAGTTGCACATGAGCAAATTAAATCAGTTATAAAACTAGACATGTGGCACAATCTATACCATTTAGATGTTATAATCGTGACCATCCATTACAAACTTTGTAAACTTAAACTTCAAAAAAAAAAAACCTGCGTTTTTTTTTTTTTGGTCAAACGATAGATTTGTTAAATTAGGGAGCCGACAGGACTTGAACTTGTTGGAAATATTTGCGATACGGATGCTACTTCTCCTACAACAAATCACATAAAATAATATTAGTATAGCACAATTTTATCACCTCAATTTATTAAATAAAATAAACCAACTAAGATAAAATACTTAACTTTTGTAGGTAGAGAATGCTCTTCGTCAATCCTCAATTAGAATAGGATTTTAGGTTGAGGCGTGTAGTCACTGTCCTAAAGAGTAGATTTCGCCCCTCTAAGACAATGTCTCGATGTAATAGGTTATAGCGTCCTACCCTCCAGGATACAACAACCTATAATCATCGTAAGCGTACACTCGCAATATTTGGATTGTATGAACAACTCGATTTTCCTTTGGCATATGAGAGGTGAAATTATAATAGCATTTGAGAGAACACAATAAATCAAGAGAGGAGAGGAAGGTGGGATTCCTTTAATTAGGTGAGGTTTGTAGGAAAGAAAATATTTGAAGTCCAATAGCAAGGGAGTAGTCTAGGTAAAGATCAACTTAATCCTTACGGCTTGAAGCGTTGTTTTTATATAGAACATGAGAAAGGTAAACATGATTAAGCATGGTCTAGAAACGTTAGACTATATAATTGCCCAATTAATGGGTTAATCAAGATGGCATATTGAAAGAGAAAATGTAATTTATAGCCCCAATATTATAACCCTTTAATGCATCAATTTTTGGTTTGCAAACAAAACTGAAATTGAGATTAAAAGAAATCATTAAGAATGATATTAACATGAAGGACTTGTATTTTGAAATACCCAATCACAAATTCCAACATAACTCATGTCGTGGTGCAAGAGCAGCATTCTTCTCTCCCATAATTGAAAAACCATCAATTCTAGTTTCTAAGAACTGAAACTTGAACTTCCAGACATCCTATTTCTTCAATCTTCCTGTAGCTACAAGACTTATACTTCAACACATTCCTGTTAGTGTTCCTTAATTTGTTCATTCGAGTATTTTTCCCTGTTCCCATTATTCGCTGTAAATTATTGCATCTTTCTGCGGTGCCCTTAGTCCTTTGTTGAGTGTAATAGCATTAACTTTGCTCAATCTGGTAGGGTGAATCGAATGAGTGATCCTATTATGTGGCCTGGAATGGCTGAAAACATCTAACATAAAAATGAATAAAAGTATGTATAACAATTTAGCGGTACCCCCTCAACTAAACCTTCGTACAATCTACTTTTTCAATACTTCAAACCTAGGATACAAAGTTGACAAGAAAGTCACTCTTGCATTGGCCAATGTAGTTGAACACACTAGATTCCCTATCAAAGCTTAATTCATAACCCACAATAATATATGCTCAATAGCAGATGCGATATATATTTCCTCGACAATGGAGTAATGTTTGTTTATGGGCGACCTTCGTGCTTCATGCTGTATAGGAATAAAAGTTGAAAATAAAGGATTTATTAAAATATAAGAGTTCTGTACAATCTCTTATTTCTCAAATGACAATTTTAATACTTTATCCATCTTTGTAAGGAGGTATTTATAAGTTTATAAAGAAGCAATACTAGGAAATAAATCAAATGATCATTTGTCTACAAGATAAGAAAACCTAGACCAAATCAAATCATACCAAAACTATAATTAAATCATATAAAATTACTAATTAAATTAAATCCCTAAAATACTTTCATTTTTATTTTCCAACACTCCCCTAAACTCATGATGTGAAATCATAAGTTTGCCAAAAAGGAAATAAGATCTAATTTGAAACTATCAGCACCTCATTCACGTGTGACCACGCATTAAGGGAGAATGCATGAAATCTTGACTGGTATGCTGAAACTAACACCAATCTTTTCGAAAGCTCATCAAATCACAATCCATCAAAACTAACGTCTCTTTTCGGATGCCCAACCCGAACTAACGCCAATTTTTTTGAAAGCCCAACTAGAACAAACGTCTCTTTTTGAAAACCTGACTACCAAATCATAATCCTCGAAACTAACTCCTATTTTCAAAAGTCCAATTGGAACTAACGATAATATTTTCAAAAGCCCAACCTAACACCTCTTTTCAGAATCTCCAGTGACCAAATCTCTTTTTTTCTTTTAATTTTTTTAATTTTTTTTTTTTTCTTCCTCTAGTTTTTTTTTTTCCTCAAACTTAAAAACAAGTATATTGATTGGCTTGCGACAAGCCTTTTCAACACCAGTCTTCAGAGGGAACTTAACCTCAAGGTAATAACCATGCTGAAAAATGCTTGGACTCGGAAGTTATTTGAGCAGTTTATATAACTGATATAGCTTCCAAATCATTTCATTAATTTCTGATCTGTATAAGAGACCGCCGCCACTTACGATAGAGATTTGCATTATCATTATCGCTAATTTCTTTATATTTGATAGAATTACAAATTTATTACAATGGGATTCGCAGTTCTCCGCGTACACTTCAGGTTGGCAAACTGTCTACTGGTGACTCTAATGTCCCCACAGGGTAATACATCAATGGTTGCAAAGGATGCTACCATTAAAGGTATGGAGGTAATCTTTTAACTAAACCACGCCGTTGCTTTCTTCGTAGGATATTAGATCTTGGTATCCCTACTTTTTCATGCGAAGGTTAATGGACTGTCACCTATTTGCATATTTGAAATCTGATCTATTATGTAAATAAGCTGGTAAATTGGTATGGTGATATGGATAATCATGACAGTGCTCTTGCATTTTGCAGTCGTCGTTACGTTGGAACATACTTTTCCATAACTTTGAAGGAGATAAAAATTGGATTTCAGGGCGCTGTTGCCTAAGTAGCAGATATGTTGAAATTGGCATCAATATTTGTTAAAGCTGTGACTGATATAAAAAATGGTGAAAAACCAACTGCAGAAGAGTCCTTGCAACGTGTGACAGCCCTTGAACAGGCGGTCACCCAAGTTATCGACTTTGTTATTGGAAAGTGCCTCTCTGATCTTTTGACGATTTCATCCAACTCCAAGCCTTTTAGTTGCTAAATTTTATGGGGTAAAAATGTCCAGATCATTACATTTCTGCAGAGGTTAATAAGTTGTTATATATTAGAAACAATATTGGTGCTGATATAATTACAAGTTCTCTCCTTCGATCTTTCGCTCATATCCTTAGTGAATGCTACCTACTCCGAAAGCAATTTGAAGGTTTATTCCTTGTTTAGCTAGATCATTTCTCAGCCAGTGGGACATGCCAAGTCCATGGCTTCAATTTTGTGATTATGTAACAAAAAATGGGGATCTCTGGACCAAAAATGCTGAGAGAGTAAGTACATATTTGATTGCTTTTAGACTTATTTGTTTGTAAGGTCCCTGCGCTTCAATGAAAGTCCCACTTTGCCCCCTAAACTTGCAACTGTGTGACGTTGACCCCTACGCTTTTAATCAATTCCGCATCAAATAAACGAAATAATTTTTCTGACCAAATTGATGAGATAAGGTAAAATAAAGACACGAAACAGAAGCATAAGGGGCAAAGTCTCATAATTACAAGTTCATGGAGCAAAGTGAGATTTTCATCAAAGCACGGGGCATGTAAACTAAAAAGCCTTGATTTTAAGTGAAAACACCGTACCAGTGCAATGCCCAAACTCCAAACCAAAGTATTACCTACCACCTTTAAACATAACCTACATGAACACCTTGCTTCTCAACTAAACCACTCTATTTATAACAATTACACTCTGCATGATATCTTACCACCCCAATTGAAAATGTTAATCCCAAAGTTCTCTTTGATTTTAATATAATGTCAAAAATTGGAGAGGAGCTGTATATATAGGGCAGCCCCAGTTCCTGCTTTACTGGTAATATCAAAAGTTATATATATCAGCATCTCTTTAGAGAGAGAGAGAGAGAGAGAGAGAGAGAGAGAGAGAAAGAGAGAGAGGAGAGAGATCAGAGAACTAGAAAATGGGGAGTGAACATGTTGTGCAAGGAGGTTTCCCAATGAAGGCGAACGCCGGAAATGCTACAATTCTCTCACTCGGAAAGGCCTTCCCTCACCAGCTTGTCATGCAGGATTTTCTGGTTGATGGGTATTTCAAAGATACCAACAGTGATGATCCAGAGCTTAAGCAGAAGCTGGCTCGACTCTGTAAGTCCGTCAAACTTCTCTCCTTTTTCTTTCAAATATCAACATTGACACTAATAGTTATGCAAACCCTACTCAAAAGACCCCAATTTGGGGATCATAAGAAGTTACTACGCGTATAGACTCTGCATGTGAACCATGCGAAAAGAAATGTTCTCTTGCCAGACTTTTCACTTGTACCATTAACTAATCAGGTGAATTTTTTGTTTAAATTTATAAGTCCGACTAACAGTCTGACAACATAACACACCAAATATCTTGTAGGAAAATATGACAGTGTTTTGTTTAAAAGGACGGTGATATCATATTGTTTTAGTAACTCTTCAATGGCATTTCACAGGCAAAACAACAACAGTCAAAACTAGGTATGTGGTCATGTCAGAAGAGATTCTGGAAAAGTATCCAGAGCTTACAACTGAAGGCACACCAACTATAAAGCAAAGGCTACACATTTGCAATGAAGCTGTAACAAAGATGGCAATTGAAGCTTCACAAGCTTGCATCAAGAAATGGGGGAGACCTACTTCAGATATAACCCACTTGGTCTATGTCTCGTCCAGTGAAGCTCGCCTCCCGGGTGGTGACCTTTACCTAGCGAAAGGCCTTGGACTCAGTCCCCAGACTAAAAGGGTCATGCTCTACTTCTCAGGCTGCTCGGGCGGTGTGGCTGGCGTTCGTGTTGCCAAAGACATTGCCGAGAACAATCCAGGAAGTAGAGTCCTGCTTGCTACTTCTGAAACCACTATCATTGGGTACAAACCACCAAGTGCAAACAGACCATATGATCTTGTTGGTGTTGCACTTTTTGGGGATGGTGCTGGAGCCATGATGATTGGCTCAGACCCCGAATTGGTATCTGAAAACCCGCTGTTCGAACTTCACACAGCCTTACAAGAGTTCCTGCCTGGTACTGAGAAGACCATTGATGGAAGGGTCACAGAAGAAGGGATCAGCTTCAAGCTGGAAAGAGAGCTGCCTCAAATAATTGAAGATCACATTGAAGGTTTCTGTGGGAGGCTGATGGGAGTTGTTGGATACGATAACAAGGAGTACAACAAGATGTTTTGGGCTGTCCATCCAGGAGGTCCGGCAATCTTGAACCGAATGGAGAAGCGTCTTGATTTGTCGCCAGAGAAGCTGAACGCGAGCAGACGCGCTCTGGCGGATTATGGCAACGCTAGCAGTAACACCATAGTGTATGTTCTGGAGTACATCATTGAAGAGAGCAAGAAGATGAAGAAGGAAGGAGAAGGAGATGGTGAATGGGGAATGATACTGGCCTTTGGACCTGGAGTTACTTTTGAGGGAATTTTAGCAAGGAAGCTTGCTGTCTAAGTTTTTTTTTTTATATATACTGTCATTAAATGGATGACCAACGTTACTTAGTAACTGCCTTTCCACTGCTGTTCCAGTTGATTAATCGAAGTCTTATGTTCTTAGTTGACAATCTAGTTAACCTACAAATGAAGAAATTCTTGCTTAGAATAAGGAAACATCTCACCTTGAGGAGACAATTACCTCCCCTGTCCCAGCTCACGTGACTTACCATCTGAGGATGTGATAGGGGCACAACGGGAATAGAACCCGTGCCGGGCCAAAATTTTGTTTGTAACCTAAGCTATATCTCTTACTTTCTATGTCTCTAGTCACATGTCAAACGATGAGAGAGAGGTTTGTACCCTCTTTGCATTATCTATTCTCTCCCCAACCTGGTAAGTTTTCCACACGAGGATGCATTGGTGATGCCAATATAAATTCCGTTTTATGCAACAACTTTTCTTTTGTCCGTGATAGAAATAATGTTTATTGGGATGTATTTGCTGAATTAGCACAGGACATGTGGGACTAGTAGTCTTCACCAAAGTAGGACCAGGACCAAGAAGAAAGACCAAAAAACTGTAGCAAACCCAAATACCCTACGACTCGGGCAATTGGCAGAAATAGAATACCAACACATATTTGACCGTTGAATTTAATTCAACACATTAATTGAATGACCAAGGACTGATGGATTAAATTCAACCACCACCGAACATGCATCGACGCTGAGTGCATGTAGATATTTGAAAAAAAATAAACACGAGTTTGATGGTCGTGGCAAACGTGGCATTTGATTGGTTATCAGAAAATCAAAAAATAAGTAGGCAGCAATGAGAATCCACTCAAGTTGGTGGGCAGATGGCGGACAAGTGTTTGAGATGCGACTTTTCAATTGGATGAAATAAACAAGTCTAACATAGTAAACTTATAGCAAAATGTCAGCACAGACTAGAAAAAACATGAACGAATTTCTGAAAATTCATGTCTGAAGTCTTTTGAAACTACTTGGGAAGAATATAATCAACGACTTGATGAACTGAGCGAGTCGGAACAGGCCACAGCTGCACGAGATAAGATATTTGATGGGATTGCAGATGAAGATGTTCATGGATATTGTCGCACCTATGGTACTGCAGCGCGCCGAAGAGGCTCGTCCTGCTCCAATTCATCTATATGCTCCAAGAAATAATCAACCGAAAGGTGTACGAGAGAGGGCATAAATTTAAAGACAAGATGGAGGAGCTAGTGATTAAGCAATTGGCACTACAAGATGAAATTGCTGTTTTGAAGTCAAATATGGAGTAATTCAACTCATCTACCCAGGTATAGTGATACGAGGAACTATAAAAAAAGGGGAACTTAAACAACCATTCACCAGCCACATTGCCTAGCTAAGTTAAAAGTCTTTGACGGCAGTGCGCTCGCAGACAGAAGCAGAACCAGAGCTAACTCATACAACCCCGGAAGGGAGACGCAGGACAAGCTGCCCTCCGAAAACACTGCCAAAACAAAAATGTCCACATTAAGGGTTGAATGAAAGAATCTACACTTGGGAAAAGAAAAGGAAACTTGGAAATAACATAATGGATTGAGGCAAACCTTTTAATGTAGTAGTAACAGAAGTCTGCTAATATGAAAGTCTGGACAATTTCTGAAATAAGAACCATGGAAGGCCATAACCCATAGCCCAAGGCTACAAGCAAGTGCCCTCGTGTATCTAATACCTGTTAGAGCAATAGATTAAGTTTTATTAGTGGTAGAATCCTACAAGCTCATACCCTTTAGCGAAAAAACAATTTATAAAGTATGATTCTTCTAAGACTTTGATCAATGCGCTCATACATTTCTATATAACTGGCACAAGTGTCCGAGCACGGACGGGTGAACTACAACTTTGAAAAGCAACTTATGACGCAACAAGGGTTTCACTCATCAATAAAAAAAATTACAGTAGGAAAGGTTTGTGAGATATTGTTTGTTTATAATCAATATGCTACTTTAAAATATGAGACTAAAGCGACCCAACAAGGTGCCTACATGGGAATTGATTCAAAGAGCATCACAAACAGCATTTAGGAATCAATTCAGAAACTCATCTAACATCATGCAAAATAATCATTTTCCAAAATGCCGCAAACAAAACAAACTAATACAAAGAAAAAATGCATAAAGATCGAACCTGTAGAACCCAATGGGCACAGCTGAGGAACCTTGCGACGCCCAGTGCAAACACGTAGTGTGCTGTGAATGGCTCAACAATCTGAAAGTAGAAATATAAAATGAATCAGGTCAGCAAGCAGTCAAAGCTGTAAAATCATAAACATTCAAGTTTCCATTCTATACAATCTGACCTTTGTGTTTTGCATGACCCGCAACTGAGGCAGTACGGAAACAGCTTCCAGATACACACAAAATGCCCAGGAAATCCTGTTCAACAAATGATGAGAAGTTGATGGATGAATAAACAGAGCTAGTAGAGCACATGGAACCACCTGCATCAAACCAGAAATTATATCACTATAAGAAAGAAAGCAACATAAAAAAGCAAGAAATAGTAAGTAACGTATTGCTTTTATTCAAGAATAAACTTCACAATGCATCAACACAGAAAGAGGTAGTCAATCGATTTTTCCCTGTAAACATGTTCCTAAAATTGTCCATGTAACAAAACAAATTAACATGACTGCACACATAAGCAAATTTTTAATTACCTCTTTGATCAGAAACTCAACCGATAAAGAAAATTAATGCTTTTGCTTAATTTTATAATGTGAGAATTCGCCATCACATATAAGCATATAACACTTCATAGAAATACAAAAGAAGATAACATTGATTGAGAGAGAAACTTACAACATAATATATTGCGAAGTTGTCCTTGTCCTCCATGTAACTCGACTTTAAGTTGAACCGGATCATATAAATGACCCAGAGGGTCGTCACCAGCGTAGCTAAATCTAGCAGGGTGTGTATATCATATTCCATAACTACACTACAGTATAATCTCACAGCTAAAAACATAGCTGTCAGTTCCTGCGATTTGAGTGATAGCCCTGCAAACAATTCCAATTCCAATATTTTCCAATCAAACTTTCACGAGTTTCATAGCCTGAGGGGAAAAGAAACACTGGTCTTGTTCCTAATTTCTAAACGGATAGAATTACGAAATTATTTTCTAACAATTATATCACCAATCCAATAAAGCCCAGATTTCTTTTATTTTGTTAAGTAACAAAATCAGATTTTCCCTCCATTGATAACAATTTTCTCACAAACCAAAACAAACCCAATTCAGGAAACTTCGCATGCGAAATTCCAGTCATCCTAATATCGGAAAAATACCAGATTCCCCACAACAGAGAAGCAAGTACCAAAATCGAATCAACAAGAACAAAATCATTTGCATCAACAATCCCTAAAATCCCAAATTTTGCACCCATTCAAACAAAACAAAAAAAAAACCCTAAAAAGCTCGAAACTTTACCAGCGCAAGTCTTCTCCTTCATGAGCTTGTAGATAAGAACGGAGATTCCAATCGAGTGCACAGCCTCAGCTGCAACAAAGAGGTTGTCGTGATCGTGGACGATGAATCGGAGCAGAACCAGCGCCGCCATGCCCGAAACGACGGCCAGAAAGGCCTGAACTTTGGACGGCTGGCGTCGCGCCCATGTCCATACGGTGTGGATCGGCCTCTTCGGAGCCCTCATGAGGTTTGGTTCTGTTTTGATTTTTCCTTTTTTTTCCCCTTTTGTGGTTTTCTCGGGCCCTTGATTTTCCCGGAAAGTTTGATGCGGTGGAGAGAAGGTGAGGTAAAACTAATTATTGTGAGTAGTTGTGGTGCGGAAACAGGTTCCCTCAGAATTTAGAGAGAGAAAGAGGGGAGAGGGAGAGACTTCCTTTCTTAATTGGACTGTTTTGTAATGGGCATGGTTCTGGTGATCTTTTCGGGTTTTCGGTACCCGTACCCGGGTAACACAATCTGATCCGGTATTTTGTCAAAGATTTATACGTCGTTTCTTTCAACGTGGCTTGTTCTCAGTGGATTGGATGTCAAGGCACCGTCTTCAGAAACAACTCTGACGCTCGGTTGCTTACCAGATACCGTAACGTAATCAAACTATGGGGAGAAATTAATTCAACTATAAGTCCAAAATTTCACTGTAAGCGAGATGTATTACATTCGATCTTCATCAAAGGTGAATTTGAATTATATTATTACTATTTGAGTTTAAAATTTTTAACTCAAAAACGATTTCCCAATTCACAACTCAAAAACTTATTTGGTAAGCCTGTTTTTTGTTTTAAAAGAAATCGTATTTATTTTTTTCTTTTTATTATCTTATTTCTAATAGATTTGTATATTGCATAACATTTGTATTTGAAAGTGATAAGATATCAACCAAGGCCAAATTAGCAATCCAATTTGTTAGTGTCCATGATTTCAATTGTTAAACAAAGTCATGAATTAAGATCTCTTAAAACCAGTTGACTGAATTAAAATATTTAATCAGCTCAATGGCGGTAGAAGTAGCCTAGAGACAGATGCATTATTGGAAACCCTCATCCGTAACGAAATTAAAAAGTACGGTTTGAGTAAAATCCAATCCAATCCATAAATCTTAATTACTTAATTGGTTTCTTTTAAAAAATTTTGATAAGTTATGTCCTTTTTAAATCTCTAGGTTGACAACAAGAATTACCAAATAAGCAACAAACATATGCGATTCACCAATCACAACATGCCACCTTGACATTGTGATGGTGTTCATCCCTTATATTCAATGTTGTACAAAATTTGGTCAACCAAATTCCTACTTCATTTTATGCTCTCAAAGACTTCAAAGGGAAAACTCAAAAGCAGGCCGCAAATTGCTCAAAAAAGTGCTTGTGCTAAAAGTGCTCATGTGGCTTAAGCATTTGTTTGGGAAAAGTCCTTGGCATCAAATCTCATCTCTTCAAGGAAGTAATGACATAATATAGGAAGGAATTAGTTAATTAGAATAGAAGGTTTTGCACTAGGAAAAGACATATTACAAGCATACTACATACAAGTAGCTTATTTAAAATTGGAGAAGCAAGAAGCCACTACTTCACCAAGTTGTTGGTCCTCCATCAACTCCCCTAACCCCTGAACCAAACCCTTGTGCCGATTAGGTCATCCTTAGGTCATAGGTTGACCGCGGTTGAATTAGCAAGTCCACGAATTCGATCTCCTCATTGCCGGCTTCATCTGTTTGTCATCCTCAAGCGCTATCATCCCCAAATGAGATGGGTCTTCCAACATCATCTTCGCTACCAAGTACCCCGCAACTGACCAGGTCTGGAATTTACGGGCTTGCTTCCCAACATAACGACCAAGTTTCCCATCGTAGTACTCGGGCCAGTTGTCTTTCAGCAACCTGCTCTCGGCAAGTTCAATGGCGCGTCTAGCTATCTGGGGCCTCCCGGTCTTGATGGATGCAGCAGTGAGAAGCCATAAGAGCACTGTACCGAACACAATGGCATGTTACTTGGCAGAAAAATTAAGATGGCACCAAATATAACTTATCATAACCGTATCATTTAATTATGGGGGTGATAAGTATAGCAGGTGTCTGTATATAGAGTAATCACCCTTTCAGCACAGAAAACAACTACACTTCTATTTTAATCCATCGCTAATAACTCATAATCAAAGGAAGGGGGAAGGACGATGGGGAGGATGGTAGGCGTTTTTCTTTACCACTTTATTATTAAGACCTATTGGAGGGTTTTTGATAAAAAATCCGCATTAACGCTATAACTTTGTGCAAAGGAGAGTATAGTGTGAAAGCATACCTGGCCAAGACCCCCCATTGTGGTAGCTCCATCTAGTATTTTTCGGGTCGCAGCCTGTTACAATCTTCCATTCATGATTTTCTATTGCTGGATAACAGACCTTTAGTGGCATTTCTCCTGCTAATTCCTCCCATCGTGATTCTATTAGATCCATTATCGCCATAGATTGTTCAGGGGTTGCCAAGGACGAAAGAATCGCTACACAATTACCCAAGCAAAACCAACGGAAATCCATTCTGGCAGGACTGACATTCCCTATAAAGTAACCACCACGAGTTGGCATAAAGTCAAAAACCCAGTCCGGAAGAGAATCTGGTATCACGTTGAACTTGTTGACTGCTGTATGCGAATATTCTTCAGTTTTATAACGATATATGTCATTTAACTGCTTAAAGTCTAGCCAAAAGTAACTTCTCATGTGATAGCTCAAGGCATGAAGGCGTTTTGATATGCGCTCAATAAACTCCTTCCCCTCATCATCATGCTTAAGAAGAAGCAAAGCACATCTTAAAGCCATGAAGAAGAGAGCCTGAATTTCGATGGGATACCCGTAAACACCCTTGAAACACATAACCAATACAGAAGTGAGTTGAAAGACTTGAAAAGATAGGCAACACATTATCTAAATCTAAATGGAAAAAAAATATGTGCCTCAGAACATAAATGGCAAACAACTCGTAGTGATAAATGATAAAGATCAAGAATGATCAAGAAATACCTCTTATACAAGAAATTGTAATCCAAATAGATTTTATTGATTAAATTTCTGTAGCAATTTCATTGAGATTAATGCTCAAAATCTGATGGGCAGATAAATGATTCTCAAAGGCTAAGTGCACCAAGAATTGCTAGGGTATTAGTTGTGTGAATTGACCTGTGCTATTTTTCCTTATTAAAGGTCATAAGAACCTAAAACAATTGGTCAGGCAGGAATATGTGGGGGCTAGCATGAGCTGCATGGCAACTAAGTTACTTAGCTGACGACCCTTTACAAGACACCTAATAGACAATATAAAATGCTGCAGTCAGCTCATGAGCAAGAAGGCAATAACTGGTAGTTTTTTATTTGTTTTGGCAGGCAAGAGCATATAAACTCGGGTTAGAAACAGCATTACTCATGAAAGGATGATTTTAATTTACTTTAAAGAATGTTATCAACTTTACTTACAAACTCCTAAACTATTAACTTATGCATTTGCTAATATTTCAAGGGCTTTACTTACCATTCATGATATCACACATATATGGCATATTCTATATATACCAGATGATAAATACAGGACTCAACATGATTATGAAAAACGTACCATTCTACGATCAATCATGCAGCATCCATCAGCACAAAGAAGGGTTGGAAATGTATCAAACCCCTCCGATAGGCATAAACTTAGAATAAGCCGCATACCCTTCTGGCATTCAGGCAGTTCAGCCAATGAAGAGTCTCCAGTGGATTTTGTGTATGCTCGAAGCAATATGATCCACCAAAATCCAGAATCAACAGGAGCAACTCTTCCTATCGCACTCTCACCAAAATCTGCTATTAAAGTCTCACTATTCCGGACTGGATCATGGAGTACTTTGAAACTAGCTGGCATTACTCCTTCTCCTAGATGAAACCTATCAATCTTTTTCTCCCATGACTGAAGACGAAGAGTCTTCAAGATAAAATTTTTAACTATTTCTGGTTCACCATTCATGAGAAAAGCCAATCCGCTGGGGACGAAGTCTCGAACAAACACCTTCACAGATCAATAAGAAGAAAAAATAAGAACAAAATTTGTGCTCGCCAACTTCATGTATTGGAAAGTCTGCCTAGAACTAGCCTGAGTTAAAGAAAAGCACAAGGGGATAGCTGAATCTATACTCTTTTGTTCAACAAAAATAAAAGTATGTCCTGCATAAAGCATCTCAAGGGCAACACATAGACAGCACACATCCACAGTTTGAAACATATTATTGAAACCGTATAATCAGAATGTTAATATGGAGGTTTAGGATTCAGATTAACAAACGGAAATATGCTAATAATAAAGTTTTAGTTCCCTCTACTATTAGATTCATTACAAAGTCAATGTTCCGACCATTATGATACAGTTAATGAATAATTGAATGTAGCTACTGATATAACAAAAACCAATAATAGCCATAACTAATCAGAAGAACAAGGATTAAGGGTCTCTACCTGGTCATAGTTAAGATTTTCTTCTGTGGTATCTGATGCAGCAATTGTCCCAACTGGCTGACCACGGAAAAACACCAATGAACGCCTCAAAGTTGCCCAAGCTTCACCAATCATTGGATGCGGCTCAAAGCCCATCTGGGACCTAGGGGTACCCATGAGTGACATTCTACTACAGGGCGAAAATACATACTCAGGAGGTTCAAAAAATCTGGAAGTGTTCTCAGCATTTCTCGATGAGGGATGTGGGGACACCGCAATAGATAGTTCACTGAGTGACCTCTCATCAAATGATCTTTTTCTCTCCATATTCAGAAGGCATGGTTTGTCTAGTAACTTTGAAAAATCAATTTCGTCAATTTCTGCCACACTACATAGTGAATCAACATGTCTCATATCTCCATTGTGGGACAAATCCGCATTGGGCGCTGACATTTCGACAGACTTTAGCAGTGGACAATAACCCAGTGGCTAGTTTTGTGCTCAACAGTCAACACCCTGCAATTCAACCACCAGAATTCAGCATTCATTGCATGCAAAAACGCACTAATCAGCTACTTTCACCCCTCCCAGGTGTGATCTATGTTACACAGACATGACACGCGACCAGGCAACACGGCAAATCTCAAAAAACAAGGACACGGACACGGCTAGGACACGGTGGTTAAAATATAATAAATTTATGATAAATATTACATATATTAAAAATAATACTTATATCACAAACAATTCCAGAATGTAATAAAAACATGCTTCCTGCATATCCATAAAAAATAATTAACAAAACAAGAAAATGCTTAATTCGCAGAGACGACGTACCTGTCTGCCTGATTGGTTGGTTGGATCAAGATACTCACTGATGATTTAAGGTTATCTGTAAGGGCAAATTTTAGGTATT